GCACAAACCAACACAAACCAACTCAGAACAGTTAAGAACATCCTCTGATTTGACGCCAATTGAAAGTTAAATCATCAACTGAATAAGGAAGGTCCTTAATAGATGCTTTCAGCCAAAGTGATGCTCTGATTTTGATATTTTCACTCAAACCAGGGAAGTTAGGTTGAGCCTCTGCAAAAACACATTCGTTCTTAAGTTTCCAAAGTGACCAAAGAACAATAAGGGGGATGGCTCTCCAAATTAACCTATCAATATTCTTGAAATTAACAGCCATCCACCATTGGAGGAGATCATCCATTGAACCTTGTATGCACCAAGAAAACCCCCATTTATTAATTATAGACGACCAAATCAACCAAGAAAATGGGCAATGAAGCAAGATGTGGACAGCAGATTCAGGTTCAGAACAACAGAATGGGTAGATGAAGGAAGCAAAAGCATCTAAAATTCCAATTCTGTGCATAAATACTGCTGCCTTGATTCTGTTTTTCCAGGCCAGCCAACTAAAGAATGAAATCTTAGGGGGGACAACCCCATTCCAAATATGCTTACATATTTTAAAGTGAGGCCCTAGAATAGAGCTAGTAGCAAAGTAGAGAGAGGACACAGAAAATACACCAGGACTTACAGATGCAGTAGCTCAGATAAGATGATCAGCCTTGCCAAGTGACAGAGAGGGAGCTGATGAAAGTAGTCCAAGTAAGTTAGCTTCTTCATCCAATTCCCAAATGAAAAGCACTCTCCTAAGAAGAAAATTCCAATTGTTTGGGTTGGTTTTTCTTGCCATGAATTGTTGTAGAGAGCCTTCTTTATCTATTGAAAGATTAAAGAGGAGGGGAAATGTAGACTTAAGACTAGAGCTGCCACACCAACTGTCATGCCAAAATTTAATTCTGTTTCCATCCCCTACTTGGATTTGGCAATTATCTATATAGAAATTGTAAATATTTGTGCTATGATTCCCAATAGATAAAATGTCCTTCCAAACTCTAGAATGTTTGTAAGAGAACTTTAAAGATGGATGCCAAGTAGCCTCATCAATATTGTATTTGCTGCATATAGCTCTTCTCCAAAGAGAGTTGACATCAGTTCCAAATTTCCACCACCATTTGAGCAATAGACAAGCATTAACATCTCTGATTCTTCTGATACCCAGGCCCCCTTAGTCGAAGCTTTTAGTTACCTCCCCCCATTTCACTAAGTGAACTTTTCTTTTAAGATCATTACTGCCCCATAAAAAAGCTGCCTCAATCTTTTCAAGTTTTCTCGCCACACCTTCTGGCATCTTAAATAAAGAAAGAAAGTAAACTGTTAAACTAGATAGGGTAGACTTGATTAGAGTTAATCTACCTGCAAAAGATAACAGTTTCCTCTTCCACCCTGAAAGTTTAGATCTGATCTTGTCAGGCACAGGCTTCCAGGTAGATTTTTTACCAGGATTGGCACCTAGAGGCAGTCCCAGAAATTTCAAAGGAAGGCTGTGAAGTTTACAGTTAAGAAGATGTGCAAAGGAGAGCAATAAAGCATCAGACACATTGACACCACACACCACACTTTTGTGATAATTAATTCTAAGACCAGATAGAACTTCAAAGCATCTAAGAATTCTTTTGATAAGAACCATTTGATCCCAATCTGCCTCAGAAAAGAGAATTGAATCATCTGCAAATTGTAAATGAGACAAAAGGACATCTTTAGACCCAACATGAACACCTCTAAGAATGCCAAGATTAATTGCTCTGACCAAAAGAATGTTTAACCCCTCAGCGACAATATTGAATAAGAAAGGTGTTAGCGGATCACCCTGCCTAAGCCCTCTTTGTGATGAGAATTCCTTAGTTGGAGCTCCATTCACAAGAATGGAAATCCTGACTGTAGATACATAAGTTTTCATCCAAGAAATCCATTTGTTTCCAAACCCAAAACTGGACAGCAGAGAGAACAAGAATTCCCAGTTAACCGAGTCAAAAGCTTTTTCAAAATCTAGCTTTAAGACATTCTTGTTGCGCCATGTGATTGATAGTGTATTAAAGTAGAGGTGTATGAATTTTGAGAAGAAAGTCCCTAGCCATTTATCTCATACCTCACTACCAGCAATCGAATTCAAACTCGAAACATCACAAGGTATGACCTCGTTTGAGAAGTTGGTTATTTTAGTAAGTTATTTTAGTTTTTAACTATTTTAGTAAGTTAAAATATATGTGTTTAGGAAGAGAGTTTTTTTTTTTTTTTTTTTTAAGTTAGAAATGGTATTTGTGAGAAAAAAAGTGAAATGATTATAGGTTTGATATGGCATTTTGTTTTATTAACTATTTTAGTCTATTTTGTCTTTTTGTAAATTTTAGCCAAAAAAAAAAAGAAGCCAAACCTCGGTTTCCTAAACACCCCCTATCTATGATGTGTATAAGAGCAGGGAATAAAAGCAAGTTGTAATGCTATCAAAAATATAACTTTCAAAAAAAGCTGTGGTAGAACTTGAACCCTAGTTCAAATTTCCAAAGCAAAGAAGGTTAGTGTTAGAGCAGCCTAACTAAAGATTGTCAGGATTAAGAATTTAAATACAGAAAAATATAGTTAGTATGCGATTTAGATTTAATTTTGGTTAATGTTATAAGCACCCATGAAGATTGTCGAGAAAATTATCAAGGATGAAAATTGATAATCGAGATTCAGTTAGTATATTGTAGTTATGCATAGATTAAATCTGAATCATATTTTGATAATTTTGAATAAAATAGAATAAATCTCAATTGCACAGTAACTTTTTAAACATTTTTCTGTATGAATTCTTCCACTTCCTATTAGAGTTATCAATTTAGTGCTAGAGTCCAAAGAGGTCCTCATAGGGCTGTATGCTTTTGTACTTTGTTCCAATCACTCTTGGGCCTTGGAGCTAGCAGACTTTTTAACATATCTACAATGCAGGCTCTACATACTTTTCCCCTTTTTTTTTTTTTTTTTTCTTACTTGCTTGCTTTCGTTTTGTGCCTTTATGGCAAATTCAAATTTGATTTGAGCCTGTAGAATTTAATAGTTTTGTGTTGGTGTTGTATTGATAAATTTTAATTATGTTGACATTATAGTCTCAATTTTGTTCAATTGCGTGTACATTTTAGGGTTTAAAGTTGCTAAAGACAGGATTAAATTTGTAGTGATATTCTTCTCTTTGTTGCTTATGGATGGTGACAGTAGGGGTTCAAATCTCTTGTTGTCTAACTAAACGAATGGAGCTAATTTCCTTTAGTGCAAAAATAAGCATTTTTTGTTGAGATAAACAAGCATTTTCTAATTGCTTAGTTAAAAAAATTATACTCTAATCAAACACAATAAATAAATTGTGAAAAAAAAAGGAAAATAAAATTTCCGTTGCTTGACCATAACCTCAAGTTGCTTTATTGTCTTGTTACGTAAAAAAGAAATGAACTTTCTCTCATTTAAAGCGTCAAGCTTGAATGGCTCAGAGAGATGATGTAGTACAACTATTTAATGCTCAGCTACACATGCAGCTCAATCACATTGCATTTGGAGGTAACAAAGAGATGAGAGACAAAAAAAAAATGGAGACAAGAAAAAGAGATGAGCGACAGGATCCAACTTTAATGTCATGTTACAATTTTCAAAGGCATCCAATTCAAAATCAATTGACATTGGGTAGAGGAACCTCTAAAATTTATGAACCAAGAGTGAATGGTTTAGAGAGATGATGAATGGTTTACCGAACTTTCTCTAAGTCCTAGCCTTCACATATAATTGGAATGATCCCCTTTCAGTAATGACACGTTCTTTGACTCGGAATATTTTTTTCTGTATCTTATTGTACCTTCTTGTTTTGGTTTTTTTAATAAAGTTTTATTTTTTGCTAATAAAAAAAACTTAAATTTTTTTTTTTGATATGGCAATATACAAGAAGAAAATGTGAGTCTATCTATTTTTATTTGTATAGTATTACTCTAACAAAATTCATTTTTGTTGGAATTTTTTTGGAGGTACTACTATTGCTCTTCCTTTCATTTTCTAAATTGTTGTTATTGATTAAGAAAATGATTTACGAAGTTTCTATATAAAAAATTCAAACAAAATGATGTTATAGTTGTATTTTTATAATTTTGAGTTACAATAAAGCTTTTAAATGAAAAGACTATAAAAATTCATATCATTTTGTATAAAATTTTTATTTTTGTAATATTAATTATACTCCTTAAGCTTTTGGACATGTGTAGTCAGATATTGTCCAATCATGAATTTTATTGTTACAAGTGCAACTATTGATGAGCCATAACCACTTATAAGTAAAAAAATAAAATAAAAAATGATAGCATATATAGATTTGTTTTAATTTCCCAAACATGCATGTATAATGTTGGTATATACTCAAAAGGAGTGAGGTTTTTTTTGTCCAATGAAAGGTTAGCATAACTTTGATAAAGTTATCACTAATTAGAATCTACTATTTGAATTACTATTAATCTTTTTGTCTCCCAAAATCATCCCAATTAGATTTTGCCCCTCTTGACCAAACCTTCTCCTCACCTCCAACAAAGCTAATGCCTAATTGAATCGAAAAGAAAATGACACAAACATAATTTTCATATAAAAAAACTCAACTAAAATAATGTGGTTATGGTGTTTTTAAAATTATAGATTATAATAATAAGTGTTTTAAATTTAAATGAAAGAACAACTAAAAGACCACATTATTCTACATATGAATTTTGTACAAAAATTCTGTTTGTATATATCATTGCCCAATGGAAAAAGTAAAGGGAATATAAGTAAAAATAAAAGTGCAAAAAAAGAAAAAATAAAAATGTTCGTTGTAGATAAAGGTCCCTACTACACACAAACGAAATTTGAACAAGATATTAAAATTTTTAATATGTATTTTTTTTTGTACACGTACCATTGCTATAATTAAATTGTACCAATATGAAATAAATAAATAAAGTGGCTATGGGGGCCAACATACAGCTAATGGAGCATCTCATGCGTCGTCAGAAATCTTTTGCCTTGAGCTTGGACACCCCTTGCTTTTCTCCAAAAGCATTGATTCACATCTCTTTGCTTTTTCTTTTTCTATTTCACATATTTTATTTTATTGATTTATTTTTTGCTTTTTAGTGTTCCCCAAAGCTTCTTTATTATCTAGATTCTTTAACACCACAATAGTAATCCTTTATTTATTTATTTATTTTATACATTGAAGCTCTCTCTACTCAAGATATGTAATTTTCTCTCCCTAAACACAACCAAACTCACCTAAAGCACTTCCAAGATAGTGATCAACTTCACATAAATAGTATACCATCAAAGAAGGCAAAAGAAAGAAGAAGAAAATGGATGAGTTTGATTATGAAGAACTTGAAGCAGCCACTGAGAACTTCTCTCCTTCTCGAATCATCGGCAAAGGAAGCCATGGATGTGTCTACAAAGGTGTCCTCAAAGATGGCAAGCTCGTCGCGATAAAGAAGCAATCATTAGGGCTTCAAAAGCTTCAAGACAACTCAAAGCTTGACAACGAAGAGCGCATATTGTCATCTTTACCCCAAAACCCATACCTCATCAACCTTCTCGGAACAAGTAAGAATTGTGCGAAGAGCAAGGTCCTCGTCATGGAACACATGCCTAATGGTACTCTTTATGACTTGCTTCATGTGTCTCCAACTCCGCCACCATGGCCTAAACGTGCCCGAGTGGCCATTCAAGTGGCTAGGGCTGTGCAGTTCATCCACGAGGCCAACCCTTTGATTATCCATAGAGACATCAAGTCTGCTAACATCTTGTTCGACTCAAATTGGAATGCTAAATTAGCAGATTTTGGACTTGCTGTCAGGTTGGCCTCTGAGGATGGTCAGCAGGTTGACTCAACTAATTCGTTGAGTCGACCTGCTGGCACGATGGGATACTTAGACCCTTATTACACCACTCCATGCAAGCTGAGCACTAAAAATGACGTGTTTAGCTTCGGGGTGGTGTTACTTGAGATCATCAGTTGTACGAAAGCGATCGATGTTTCTAGGGTTCCAGCTTCCATGGTGGAGTGGGCATTGCCATTGATTGAAGAGGATAGGATGGTGGAGATTTGTGACAAGAGGGTTGCTTTGCCTTTCTACATGGAAGGCCCCGTGCGACACATGCTACACATCGCATCACTTTGTGTGTCCTCTAGAGAAGATCACCGGCCATCGATGCGAGAAATCGTTATGGTGATGGATCACAGTTTCGTTGAACGTGATCGCTTCCCTCTCTGGATCAATATTTTGGGTAGTATTTTGAAAAGACAACAAAAAACGACTGCGAAGCCCAAAAACACTATCGCTGCTGCCTCTATCACCGCCGCGACACCACCACATGAAGCAAACTGTCATGGTGAGTTGTCAAGAGGGAAGATTTTATTGTTGAGAGATGTTTTGGCTGACATTACATTGAAATGACTGAAGAGGGTGTTTGTTTTGACTGAGTCATTTGACCACAACTCGGCTGAGTTGGGCAACTTGGACAGGTCAATGGACAGGTTCTGGTCCCTCCCTCACTCACATTATGAAAAAGAAATAGGAGTTGAAGCCTGGAGGAGAGCATGGAGTTCCAGACACAAGATTCCTAAAAAGTTGGTGGGCTGTGGGAATATGAGAAAGCTTTGTGATGCCCTGTCATAAGTGTTATTCGTTTTCTTGATTGTTACAAGTCACTAGCTAACCCTATATTTCAGGGGGGGTCCTTGTGGGTGGTGCCCCTAGATTCATCATACATTTGTATTCATGATCATCAAAATGTATTATATATTGTGAACTTTTTATCCATCTAATTAATTACACCATGATGATTCGATATGGTAATTAAAAAGTGGATAAAGATTTGGAAGAGGATATGATAATAAGGTAATTATTAGTTAATTCTTAAAGTGATAATTATTTAATAATTCTATAATATAATATGACATTATGTACGTAGCAACATAACTGAAAGTTTTATAGATAAAATAATGTTAAGTCATATTTGGTAAGTGATTGAGAAACAATGAATAATCCACCTAATATTTTGCATACAAAAATACCACATAATATTATGAGATTTCTTAATTAACTTACTATCCCAAAGTACAATATGATGGCATATCCATCACAGGAGGAAATACACATCAATTGTATTTCAAATTTGCTGTATTCTTTATTTTTCACTTTTTTTTGATCGGCCTTTATTTTTCACTTGTTATCATGGAAGTGATAAATTTTATCCTTTTTTTTTTTTTTTTTTCATGGGGGCCTAGAAAAGGAAAGGTCCATTATAGCCTTAAAAAAAAAAAAAAAAAAAATGGTGGCAAATTGGAGGTCCACAAAAGGAAACGTCCAATTAAATCTTGGACCTTACTCATGACCCTTAAAAAAAAAAAAATTTCAAGTCCACAAAAAGGACCCATGCAACAGAAGTAAATGGCCCATGGACTATAAAGGGCAATTAACCCTAAAAAAAAAAAAAAAAAAAAAAAGATAAAGTATTTGTTTATCAATTATGCGTATGACATTACTAAAAAGTAAAAGCATAGTATGTACAAAAACAGGAATGCAAATTAAGAATATTTGGAGGAGAAATATATGGTGAACACTTTTAAACATGGTACATGGTAAGTAATGTTATATTATTTTGTGATAAAAATTATGAAATGGGCATATTTTTGGTACACATTCCTATAAAATGAAATTTACAAACTATTGCAATTATGTTATACACATTATGATGAGAAATGTTATGGACTATTTTTAGGGTTTAGGCCCTGTTTGTTTTCAGAGATAGAATGGAAGGGATTGATAGTGAGAGGATTAATAGTGAGGAGATTGTTAGTGAGGGGATTGATAGTCAGGGGATTAAGTAAAATTGTGTTTGTTTTGATGATAGTTATTAGTGTAGGGATTTAAAATTATTTTTATATAAAATAAATATAAAATAATAAAAAAAATAAAAAAATACAAAAACATTAAACATTAATGTTTTTTAAAAAATGCCCAATATGTAAAAAAATTTAAAAAATAAAAATAAAAAAAAATTCCAAAAAAAATAAAACAAATAAAATAATAATTTTTACTTAACAAAAAATTAAACATTAATGTTCAAAAAAAATGCCTGACATGTAAAAAATAAATAAAAATAAAAAAATTTAGTCCGCCGGAATATTTTTCTAATACTAAGAAAAAAAAATTAAACATTAATGTTAAAAAAAATGCCCGACATGTAAAAAATAAAATAAAAAATAAATAAAAATAACAAATTTCTAGTCCGCCGGATTATTTTTCTAATACCAAGTCTTGGAGGCCCATCCGAATCTCCTTGGAGAGGCCCATCCTAATCCGGAGCTCATTATCAATTCCCTCCCCATCTCTCAAAACAAACACAATATTAGTGGGTCCCATCTCACTACCAATCCCAATTCCTCCTCTAACTCTCCAAACAAACGGGGCCTTAGGGTTTAAGAGGCCACCAGAGGAGGATCAGAGAGTAGAGGAGCTACTTGTGGAAGGCTGCTGATGTTTTTGTTTGGCTGTGTCTTGTTTTTTTGGCTTTGTTGTATGTTAATTTTTTTTTCTTGTTTGTGGTTAGTTGCTTACTAATTCTTGATAGTGTGTTAGTAAATGATTGGGCAGACATATTAGTGTCAATTTAGTTAAGATTGGTATATTTTATTATGATACTTTTTATACTATACTTATCTTTATTGATATAATACTTGCTTTGTTCATTAATAATTTTTTTTTTCCTTTTTACCGATAAAAAAACTATTTTTAATTAAAAAAGTTACAATACATAGTGGTGGAGTCAATATGGTATGATAGTGATAGGGTCAACATGATATATTTTTGTAAGAATTAAAAGATATATATGCACCTTAAATTAAAACCTTTCGGTCCCGTTTGTTTGGCCGCTTGGGCGGCTGGACTGGAGTAACACAGCTATGGGTCCACGCATAGCATGTTTGTTGATGGTTCGAAAGATCCGCATGATAGTCTGAGCGGCTTACTAATCTCCCTCAATAGGGGGATTAGCTCGGCTAAGAAAAGCGTGAGATTAGAAAAATAGTGAGCGGATTGGGTTTACCTGGTCATCCACCTGAACATCCGCTCGGACGTCTGGCCGGTTGATCGGAGCAGTGTTTTTATTTTTTATAAACATAGTCGGCCAGCCAAAAAAACTTTCAGCCGGACAAAAAAATAGCTAGTCAGCCAACTTTTTTGTTTTTTTTTAAATTTTTTTGTTTTTAACAATCCTAAGTGCACATTTTGTTGTAATATTTATTTTATTTTATTTAGTATAAAAATAATTTTTTAATTTATTTAATTTATAATAATTTAACAATTACATCATTAACCATCTTTCACACTATTATAAGAAAAACATACTTTTACTTAATCCCCTCACTAATAATTTCCACATTAACAACTTTTCATTAACCATCCTCTCATTAATTAACAATGCTTTCCAATCTAATCCGCCAAACACACGTGGCCTTCATTTGTTTCGCAGTACCTTTATTTTAAACTATCCATTTAAGATTGTAATCACGGATTGCCAAAGCAAGATAGGATCAATAAAGTGGGAAAGGGACAAGGAACCAAACACAATAGGCTGATTTTTTAAAGTTATATTTAATAAACTTGTTCATGGTTTAATTAACAAAGCAAATTTATTATTGATAATATGTATGAACAACATTGGATAATGGTTTGATGACAAATCAACACGTTAACTTTTCATTAACAGACACTACTATGTTTACATGTTCAACAAAGTTGGCTAAATGTGACGGTGCCTTTTAGTTCATTTTTTTCTTTTGTTAATCCTATTATTAAAATATAAATCGTTGTCACCCGATCTAATTTTTGAATTATTCAATGTTTGTATTTGATATAAAGCAAGATTAAGGTCAAAATTAAGTAAAGATTTTGAACTAGATTTTGTTATCTTTTACAAGATTTAAGGGGGTCTTAAACTAATCAAGATGGTAGAAAACTAGTATTTTTTATTTTTTATGCTAAACAAACTTCCTAGCTATAGTTACTATAACATAATGAAAGTGACAGACAAATGTCTTGGAGAAAGAATACAATTAAGGCTCATCACATCTTAATAAATGTTAAAGATAATTATATCTTTATTTGTATAGAAATTAATTACGGAATTAGAAATGAAAAAAAAATATGAGACTCACATCATATGAAAGAGTTCTGCCCAATTCTATAATCAATTTTTGTGCACACAAAAAACTCTATCATTTACTATGACAAATAATTTGTAAAAAAAGAGCACCATAATGTCAAAAAAAAAAAAAAAATCAATCCTTGCCACTACCGACTTTGACAGTGTATGAAAATGATTAACTGAATTAGTTCAAATAATTTTTAAATAAATAATTTTACGAATAATTTTGAGTCACACATCAGTAGGATCCGTTACTAATTTTTTCCCCTCACATTGTTCTAATTTGTTGATTTTTGTGTTGATACAATATTAATAAGTATTATATACATAGCATTAATATTAAAATGTTGTAAAATGTACCAAATCGCATAATAAATGAAAATAATAAAAACAAATGATGAATTTTATTTTTGTGCCCCGCTAATTCATTTATTTATTTATTTTTGCTTGGACTAATTCAGTTGTTAATTGATAGAAATACTAATAGCACCATGTATCATATTTATTGGTTCTAATCATGGTTGCCTATTGCACACAACATTCCATGTATTAGTTGGGCCTACAAAATCTGTCAGGACTGGGCCTACACATCTAGGCCTTGCCCATGACCTTAGTGGGCCAGATTAGAGCATGGTTTTTCTTTGGCACTTGGCCTTATTTATTTATTTATTGTTATTATTATTATTAAGTAATTGAACTGTCCAAATTATGATAGTATCACTGTTACACTCAACACATTTTTTTAAAAGTGTTTTAATTTTTTTTTTAATAAATACCCATCATTAAAATACAAAACTTAGTTTAGGTTCAATTTCGTAAACACATTTTTAGTATTTTTTTTCCCCTCATTTTTCATTTTAATTTTTAAAGATAAAATAAAATTGTTCTTACAATAATTTAGGTGTTATTAAAAAAGTTTTATTTATTTTTTATTTTTTTAATCCATAGTTAAATCGTTCGATTGTGATTTTTTTTTAATAAAAATTTTAAATCTATCTAGGACCCGTAAATTTTTTTTAAAAAAATATAAATAGTGTTATTTTTCTAAAATAATTACAGATTCATGAAAAATTTTATAACTTTAATTATATAAAGTGTATAAAAATTACCATGAATCTATAATTAATTTTCAAAAATATAATTGATTTGTTATTTTCTCAAAAAAAAAAAAACACTGAAGATAAAAAAAAAAATGTGATTTTTAAAACACTTGCCAAATATAATTGATTATTATGTTAAAAAGTATTTTTTTTTAAAAAAAAATTTCTTGATTTTGATTTTTTTATTATTTTTAAAGAAAAAGTATTTGGTGATGACCGGTTTGTTAAAATCGAACCGACCGTTTCATCTACGTCTCCACCAAACTCGTAAATCCGGTCTGGAAAACAAACAGCAGACTAACCGGACGTCAACAGATTCTCACCGCCATACTTGGCTCAACACAGAGTTCCCAATTCCTCTCTCTCTCTCTCTCTCTCTCTCGTGCTCATGTTGAAACCCTAACCCTAATTATCCGAGCTTCATCGATTCGACGACAATCGCTCTGAATTAGAGAGATGGAGACTCAGATCAATCACAATTTCTTCGAGAGACGCCCCATCACCAAGTCCAAGACTCCCGCTGTCAAATGGTTCAAGGAATGGTAAAATCTTTACACACACATATATATGTATATATGTATCGTATATGGGCATGTATGTTTGTTTCCATGTTGTTTGGTTTCTGAGAAAAAGGGTGTAGCTTGAGATCAATTAGTTGCTTTGCATTCAGTTTGAGTGTGGGTTTCATTTGTGTGGCCTGAAACAATTGCAATCTATGATTTGACATTTTTTTAATTTTTGGACTAATCGAAGCGGTTATAGTTCTGTTTTTTCAGGCTTTTGCAATGAAAGCTAACAAAGTGAACTGCTTGAATTCAGTCTGTCCATTGATGTATTGTTTTCTTTGGTAGCATTTAAGCGAGGAATTGTACTCTCATTTTATTTTCTCTTCGTAAATTGGGCTGTTTCTGGAGTTTCAATAATCTATCATGTTCATCATCATTATTATCAGTATTGTTATTTGCTGAAGAGAATACATAACACTAATGCTAAGAGTACAATAGAAAAACATAGAATGGATCACAGAAAGTGTATTGACAGGCTGAGATTTATTTTGAATGTGGATCCCATTATAACTGGGTCTAATCTGAGCCGTCCATTGCATTTTAAACAAAGAAAAAGAGAAAAATATGGAGCAAGTTCTCTACTAGAAGAAAAAAAGATTACAAAAAAAAAGGGAGAAAATAAAGTACAAGGAAAGGAAGACATTAGTGAAGAGAAAAAGTTGCAAAGGAAGCATGAGCCAGCTGAGTGTTTATGTTGTTGTTGCACTCCCTTTGAATGGAAGAATAGTCATCAATAGCACTCTTAGAAAGGGAACCAGAAGTGTATTGATTGACCCATAAAGTGGCCATGTATCTTTTTGAGTGACTTAGACCTGCTATGCTAATCTCGTTAGGCCACCCGAAGCCATCGCACCTTTGGCAGGAGGAGTTAGAAAGGTGAAAAGAGAACAAGACAGGACCTGCGTATAAAAAAAGTAGCAATTCAATTTCAAATGGTTTAAGCTTGGAAGCAACCTGCTAGCTATCGATAGGTGAGAACAGACTGCTATTGGCTGCCTCCTCTATGTTCTTGACAGCCCATCTTTGTCTTAGGAAAGTCTTTCAATGGCATGTTTCGGTCCTTTGTGCACCTATCACCCATCCTCAATAAAATCAATCACCAAAAAACCAAAAAACTATCACTCAACCTATGTGGTAGAACTAGCAACAAAACATAGAACTCATGATCCTACATGGTACCCATCAGCCTTGGTTCCCATGAGAGCAACCATCTGTATCCAATTTCAGCTTAGCAGAGCAAGAAGCTATTCCATAAATAAGCCACAGACCTAGGACGAGGTCATCATAAGCACCCATCTCTTCTTAATATCAGGAAGAGATACTGATGTAGCTTCAAAATCATTTGTAATGGCACCCAAGGCTAGGACCTTTTTGGGTTAGGTTGAGTTGGATGTTAGCCATACTCTATATTAGCATTCAATACTTTTCCAAATATCTCCAACCTCCACAATCTGACCTGGCTTAATGGAAACTCATTTTACAAGCTTGGTTTTAGCTTGAGTTAGGATGGGTTGGTTAAGTTGGTCAAATTATGGTATGTTGGTCAGGTTGAGAGGAGAACCAAAAACAATGTATATGGATCAGTATACCATTTTCAAGTTTGATTTCTTAGCAAGTGGATTCAAAGGCTATTTGATTTATTTGTTAAGCATTGTGGCTGAGTATATAAGGATATTTTATGAGTTATAAGTTTTCTGGGGTGTCGTAATATACATTCAATCCCTACTTTTAAGTTATGACTCACATATATATGAATTCTATATTATGCATTGTATGTTAGCTGTTATATTATATATATAAACCATGGTTTGATTTGGATGGGCTGACACTTTTAAGCAAGCACAATCGGTTGGGGCTCTTAGGGGGAGTTTTATTTTGAAGCTCAACCATAAGCACTGTAACTCTGACCCTAACCTGCCCAAAATCAAAGTTGACTTGGTTTGGTTGGCAGTTGGCTCAATGTATTGAAGTTCTTAAGAGTTACCACCTTACCACCTATACTTAATGCATTTTCTAGTTCCTATCTTTTAGATTAAGGTATAAAACACCTTCCTGTAATTGTTGTTTCTGCAATACTTATTTTTTCATTTTAGCTTGTGTTGAGGAGCCTTTTTACATGTAACGTGTTTTGTGTCTGAATAATCTGAAATGGTATAAAAATCCTTTTTCGTATAGTCTGATTCCACAATATGAAAAGGGAAAAAGGTTTATACATATTTCTTGAGGAAGACAATCTTCAGACATTTGTTCTCCCAAGGAGCAAAACCTCCTCTGATAGTTCATAGAATGGCTATGAACCTCTTTGAACATTTATGACTCTACTAGGAATCTCGATTGTTGCTGATTTTAATCATCAAGTTAGTACCTTTTATATGAAATTTTAGCATACTTCACATGGTTGTTGTTGGATAACTATCGACCTTGCTGAAAATGCCCTATGATTCAACTGATGCCCTTCATGATGCATGTGTGAGCATGCAGACATATACATATCCTTCAATTCCTTTCATTATTAAATGACAAACACATTCTGCCTTTATTGGCTTAATGTCCTTGTCTTATTATTTTGTGGACCTTGCTAATAAATATATCTATTTCTTTTAGGGTGCCCCAAGATGTTGTAGCAACGGGGGGAAAGTGCTCACTTTTCAAATGGGTTACAGGTTAGTTTTGATTGTTCTCTATCATGCATTCATCCATTTTTGTGTACCTCTACAGGTAGGGGTAAGAAAGTATAGTGGGTTAACTAATTTTGTCATTTTGAACCTACATTGATCCCTTGGGTAACCTGGGCTTGATATGTGGGCTATATTAGATTTTTTATCATTATTTAATATTCTGCTTTCACTGATATAGTGATATATGGTTGCGTGCAAGGTTTGAATAAATGGAAGTGTTATTGAGACATTGATTATCCCACTGTAGAATATCATTTAACTACTTGGAGTGAGGAGACTGAAAGTTTTTCACTATGGTTATGTGTCTCCTGGTTAAGATCCAGGGTTGCATTTACATTATGGCTTTAAGCTTTTACAAACATGTGAATTGACTTTGTTGATATGTGAACTTTGCAATTAGAGTTTGAAACATGATTCTTCAAGGTTGTAGCTGGTATTCTAGTTGAAAACTTGATATATTTTCCTTGTCAAACTTATAGATGTTACTCCACTAAACCAACTAAGCCTAGCCTAGTTGGCTACCGTGACTTTACTAAGGGCTTAGTCCCTAGAGGGAGGTCATGGGTTTGACTCTCCCTAGGGGGAGTTTTGCTGCTTTGCAAGGGGTGGGGCTAACCCCCCCATAGGTGCTAATCTAACAATTGACAACTGTCTTTCGCCAATCAAAAAAAGAAAAAAGAAAAAAGATGTTACTGTAGTAGTTTTGTATGGAATTGGTATTGATATACCTATAGCTACTATGAAAATTAGACTCTATTACAATAAATGCCATGTAGAATGTAGTCATTTTCCTGTTGAATGTCTTGAAACCCCACATCCATGTTGTACTTGTTATCTTGATAACTAAGGAGCACAAATACTTCTATGGAGGAGGCTTGTCATGTTTGATACCCTTGTCATACACTGACTCTTGGCAGACACTCCTAAAAGCTTCAACATGCCTTAATTGAAAATTTAAAGTCATAATATCAGACACTTCTTGTACTCTTCAACAACACTTCTTGAACTCTTCGAACATGACCAATGTGATGAATCTCTTTATAGTATCATTGTTGTGCATTCTTTGGAATATAACTTGTGCACTCTAAATATGTTTTGAAATTTTTACAAGACGAATACATCATGTGTATTTCAATGTTATATAATTGTCTTCCATTCTTTAAAATGCAATTATTACATGAATGATTTCTTGATGTTTGTATAAATTACACGTCCTAGGTGTATTGTGTGTTGCATTTTTTAAATTGTAGTGTTGGTGTGTCCATGTCTGTGCTACTTCGATAATTTAAGCCAAATATAAGGTTTTCCATTAAGAATTAAATTTAAGTTATCTGTCCATTGTTTGTTCATCATTTGTGTTGTTATACATATCAAAAAAAAAAAAAAAAAATGAAAAAAGAAAAAGAAAAAATCATTTGTGTTGTTAGTCTACAGTATTCACATACATGCTGCAAGTATTAGTGCTCATGCTAGTATTGCTTGAGCTTGTGCTCACTGTTTCTGACCACACTGTGGGGTAATCTAGATGCAGATGGTCAGGGTCTAGCTGGATGGCCTTGGTGTTGTCCTTACATAGTATTTTTGTGACCTTACTGGATTACCATATAGGTTGGAGAGCCATCCTGGGCTGGTGTAGTAGGATGAACTGAGGGTGTTGCGGCAATTTATTGTGATTTGTCATATGACTTTGTCCTAATACTTCTCCTTGTCCTGTTTTTCTAGAGGCCACGTTGAAGGCCATGAAAGAGAAGTCAAATGAGCCAGAAGCCGCAGAACCAGAACCAGAGCCAACTACTGAGGTTCTTTTCCTTTGTAGTTATGAGGGCTGTGGGAAGACATTTATCGATGCTGGAGCTTTGAGGAAGCATTCACACATCCATGGAGAGAGACAATATGTTTGCCATTATGAAGGGTGTGGAAAGGTAATATTTTTAATCTAACATGTTAGGGTTATGTGAGTGTGATCTGGTAAAATTCTGCGATTTACTTTCACTTAATAGTTTCTGCTTTCTAGTAACAAGCACCAGATAAATCTCATTGTACTACTAGTACGGATTCTATTATTCAGATCATTTTGATACTTGATAAGCAATTCTAATGTGGATAGTTGAATTGTATATTTTGTTTCAAAGCAATTTTGTGTTTTGTAATTTGTTTATTGTTATGAAGAACATTACTTCTGTCCACTCTCTCCCTCTCTGTCTTTCTCTCATGTGTGTAGTAGTGATCTCCCTTGGCAATTTGAATGTTGAAAAAATGGATAAATTCTTCCTATGTTGTTAGCTGAGCTAAGACAATCTTCATTGGAAGAGTGATTAATAGAAGGTGAAAGGTGATGGAGAGGAATAATAGAAAAAAGAGGGACAAATTGTGGGATTACATCTAGAATCAAGAAGAGTCACACCCCTGGATCTGAAAAAAAAAATTTGGAGAAAACCCAGGCAATCAGTTCTAGGTTCTTCGGCATTTTCACCAAGCAAAAAATTAAGCACTTTAGAAGTAATATGCTTCAAGACACATCTTGACTGTCTCATCAATGTGTGAAATTACAATCTTATATACATGATATATAAAGATACTGAAGGAGGTACTTTATAGCTATGTATTTAGGAGGGAAGTTGTAGACTAGGTACAAAAAGCATCCTACTAGAAGGTCACTTAAGCACTATATATGTAATCTAAATTAGATACTGAAGGAATTACTTCATAGTTCTGAGTAATTTACAGTAAACTAGAATATAACTTAAGCACCATATATGTAAACTAAATTTAATATCGTACCTGTAATACTCGTGTATATGGAATACTGAAGGAGTTACTTCATAGCTGATTGAATAATCTCCTAACTGAAAGTAACCACTTACTAAGGAGGTTACTTAAGGACTAAAGATGTAAATTCAATTTATTAATATACATGTAATAGTTCTATATATAGGATGCTGAAGGAGGTCCCTCATAGGCAAGTACTTTA